CCAAAAACGGCTCAGGATGAACAACCGGTCCTGGGGAATGGGTCGAGACTTCCGGAGATCCCGTATTGAAGAAGTCATGACATCGGATTTTTTTGGGGGGGGAGAGGAGGGAGGAGAGAGGAGGGAGGAGGGAGGAGCTCTGAAGGAAGAGGAGGGAGGAGCGAGGAGGAAGGAGGGAAGGGAGGGAGGGGAGGGAGGGAGGGCAGGAGGGAGAGAGTGGCGTGGACGCGCTGGGGGCCGCGGCGCTCCACGCCGCCGTGCCGCGCCACCGCCAGGCGTGCCAGATGTCTTCGGGCGGCGAGGGCACGGGGGCGTCCTGGCCCACGGCGCCTTCAAAGCCGCCTCTGCGTACCGCCAATGCGCACGGCAACGCTGCCCCGCCCAAGCACGGCTTCGCGTGTGCACTGCGCACGGCTGGAGATGATGAGCCATGTGACACGCCACTGGGCGCCAACCTTCAACATCCCAGGCTCTGTCTGGAGGGCCGCGTAGGGCGCCTGCGGTGCCACACTGCAGTGGCAGCGGTGCTGCGGCGCCACCTGGAACGGATCGGTGCGTTCGTCGACTCCGAGCGTACCATCCCGAGACTGTACGTCCTGGTGAACGGTGAGGTCCGTGAGCACATCATGGACCTTGTCGCGTGGTGGCCTGCCTCGGGGCGCCGCTTCTGGGTCGACGTCACCGTACAATCGCCGTTCGCGACTGAGCTGCGGCGCCAGCACGAGCTGCCAGGCGAGGCCGCGCTCTGCGGTGAGGCAGACAAGCGGTCGCACTACGGCGACTCCGTAGCCCCGCTCGGGCGCCTCGGACTGGCGGCGCTGCAGCTGCTCGTTGTGTTGCGCACGGAGTCGGCCGACTACGGCAGGGCACGCGACGGCGCTGAACTTGCACGACTAGCGCGCCGAGCTGGAGGCGGCCGCTGTGCGCGGGTCCGCGCAGCAGCTGCTGGCGGCGGTGGGCAGTAGCGCAGTCTGGCGGCGCTTGAGGGCGCCCAGGCCAGCCGGCTCGCGAGCGGCGCGTGTGGGTGAGGTGAGGGGCGGGTTTGCCGTGCAGGAGTGACGGGACGAGGGCGCGCAGGCGTGCTCGAGGGAGGGAGGGAGGAGGGAGGGAGGGAGGGAGGGCCCTGGTTGCAGCCAAGACGCTGAAATTGTGAGCAGTTCGGGGTCGGAGGGGGCTCGCTGATCCTCAGGTCCTTCCATGCTTAGCGCACTGCCTTGTGCACCCAGGCGCTTCTGGGGTTCAACAAGGCGCTTCGTTCCTTGTTCAGCGTTCCTTATGGCAGTAGGTTGACTGTACCCCCCTCGTACTCCATCTCAATGATATTCCTCTTCCCCCGTACGACTCCCTCGCCCCCTCCCCACCCCTGCCTGCTCCCTCCGTCCCCTGGGGTCACGCGAGGTCCCCCGTAGGCCCAGAGAGGACAAGACACTTGCCATCCTCCTCGCCCCTTCCCCCTCCCCACCTCGCCCGCCCTTCTCCGCTTGCCCCTCCTCCTCCCCTGGGCCCCCGCATCGATCGCCCCCTCCGCCCCCGCGGGCCCCTCGGTGCCCCCCCCCCGTCCTCCCCGCGGGCGCGATCCCCAGGGGCTGCCGAGGGGCTTCCGGCAGCGGCAGCTGGACCAAGGCCTCTGGCGGGTGCATTTTTGTCGTCGCCGCCGCCGCCGCCGCGGCCGCCGCCGCCGCCGCCGTCGTCGCCGTCGTCGTCGTCGTCTTCGTCGCCGTCGCCGTCGCCGTCGCCGTCGCCGTCGCCGTCGCCGTCGCCGTCGTCGTCGTCGTCGTCGTCGTCGTCGTCGTCGTCGTCGTCGTCGTCGTCCTCGTGTCTGCCGCCGTCGTCGTCGTCGTCGTCGTCGTCGTCGTCGTCGTCGTCGTCGTCGTCGTCGTCGTTGCCGCCCTCGTCGTCCTCAGCGCCGCCGTCGGCGCTGTCGTCGGCGCCCTCGTCGGCGTTGGCGTGGTCGTCGTGTGCCGATCTCTCCTCCCCGCTCCTGCTTTCCACGCCCGTCTTTCGAAGGACAAGCGTTGAGTCGGGCCTGTCCCTCCACAGGGGGAATATTCAAAATCATCAAAACATAGACGGTGGACCATTTTTTCTAGATATTTTCGATCATCTTTGGAGTATTTTTTTGAGCATGTATAATTTTTCGCCCAAGATCCCCCTGTAGGGGGACACGCCCGACCCAAGGCAGGCAGCGGCATAAGCATACACTCGTCGGAGGTCCGCGCGGATGTCGTGGATCGGCGGTGGGCGCCCCGGGCGGCGCCCCCGACGCCGCCCCGAGGCGCGCGTCGCGCGCCAGGGAGGGGGGATCGAAGGAATCCGTGCGGACCTCCTCCTCCTCCTCCTCCTCCTCCTCCTCCTCCTCTCCTCCTCCTCCTCCTCCTCCTCCTCCTCCTCCTCCTCCTCCTCCTCCCCTCCTCCCCCCTCCTCCTCCTCCTCCTCCTCCTCCTCCTCCTCCTCCTCCTCCTCCTCCTCCGGCGCTTCGCGCGCCAGGGAGGGGCGCGCTTCGCGCCGCTGGGGGGATCGACCGTGCACCGATCGGAGGAATCCGTGCGGACCTCCGAACGGTTCTGTTTGCGAAGACGTTCGTTCTTTTGGGCTTGGCTCGGGTCTGACCGCGGAGCCTTGTTCGTCTGCCCAGCGCGAGGAGGCCGCTCGCCGGTCACGTCCTGCGGATCGCTGTGGCGTCAGACTCCCTGGCCCGATCTCCCCCCCCGCACACCGTCGTCCGAGCAGGAGGCGGAAGATGAAGAGGTGGGGGGGGAGGAGAATGAGGATGAGGATGAGGATGGTGATGCTGATGATGATGATGATGATTCAGATGATGCTGATGATGATGTTGATGATGATGAGGATGATGATGAGGATGATGATGCTGTTGCTAATGCTGCTGATGATGTTGATGATGATGATGCCGATGCTGCTGCTGATGATGATGATGATGATGATGAGGCTGCTGATGCTGCTGATGATGATGCTGATGCTGATGATGTTGATGGTGGTGGTGGTGGTGATGCTGATATGCTGATGATGATGCTGATGCTGATGATGCTGATGATGGCGATGATGATGACGATGATGATGATGATGATGATGATGATGATGATGATGATGATGATGATGATGATGCTGATGATGATGATGATGATGATGATGATGATGATGAGGAGGAGGAGGAGGAGGAGGAGGAGGAGGAGGATGAGGATGAGGATGAGGATGAGGATGAGGATGAGGATGATGATGCTGTTGCTGATGCTGCTGATGATGTTGATGAGGATGAGGATGAGGATGAGGATGAGGATTCGGAGGTGGAGGAGGAGAAGTAGTAGCAGGAGGAGGAGGAGAAGGTGGAGGAGTGGGGGAAATAGGATGAGGAAGAGGGGAAGTTCGCGGGTGGGGTTTACTAAAGACGTGTTGGTCTGGAGAGGAATCTCCTACGCACTAGTTGAAGCGACCTCATTCGCCAAGCAATTGTTTTGTGAGTTTCGCGAAGTCGTCCGCCTACAGCTCGTTAGGTCAGAGTTGTCTGCAATGTTGATTGGTACAGCTTCAGTGAAGGATTCCAGACCATCTCTTTGTGCACCTCGTTTGGCAGCTTTGGTGGTCTACCGCCATTTCCCTTTGTCGCTGCCGGGCTACCCGATCCCTTATCCCATCTGCCTGGGAGGGGGGGAAGTTTTGCGGTCTTCAAGGGAGGAAGAAGCACCCCGATCCCCAGAAGTGGCGTTTCTGAGACGGTCCTGGGCGCTTGCGAAGCGGCCCTGCCCAAATGGATCCCACGCTGAGGTGCGTTTGCCGAAGGGCTTCGCTTGCAGTGGGAGCTCATCACGAGGTTGGCTCCTCTGCCCGCAAGGTCTGCGCACCTGACGGTGCCGGCTGGTTCCGTGCCTTGCCGCGCTGATCTTGCAGTCCAGAGGCGGGAATTTTTACATGACCACCGCCGCCTGGAGGATCCATTTCGGGGACCTCGGCAGGCGGTGGATGATTATGGACACATCCGGACCCCCGGGGGCCCAAATATATCCATATCCGCCTGCGCCTCCGCCTGCGCCTCCGCCTCCGCCTCCTCCTCCTCCTCCTCCTTCTCCGCCTCCTCCTCCTCCTCCTCCTCCTCCTCCGCCTCCTCCTCCTCCATATGGACAAATCCCCGCCTCGCAGCAGCGGCGCCTGCGGGGCAGGGCCCGTTCCTCGGCCCTCGCCTGGCTGGTGCCCCCTTGGGCCGGGCCCCGCCGGCGTCCAGCCGTGGTCCCCGCGGGAGTGTCGCCGTGGGGGACGGCGGGCGCCGAGCTCGCCACGAGCCGAGCTGTGGTGTGCAGCTGGCGTGGTCCTCACTCTCGCGACGGCCGACCCCCCCCCCCGCAGGAGGAGGAGGAGGAGGAGGAGGAGGAGGAGGAGGAGGAGGAGGAGGAGGAGGAGGGGGGGAAGGAAGACGCAGAAGAAACATAATAATGAGAAGGCAGATACGAATAACACTAATACTACTCACACTAACAAGACGAACAAGATGAGTAACAAGACGAACAAGATGACTCATACAAAGACGAGTAATAAGACGAGTCATACGGCGAACACTCATGGTGATGATGATGATGCTGCTGATGATGACGATAATGATGATGCTGCTGATGCTGATGCTGATGATGATTATGATACTGGTAAGAATAATCATTTCACGGTCACTGACAATACGACTACCAATAATGATACTATTACTATTTTGAATACTAAGACTACTACGAATCCTATCAATAACCAGCCGAATAATCATACAACGAAGAAAAAGTATTACTAAGGAGACTAAGAAGAATATTCCGAGTCATCATACTGAGGATGATACATATTATTCATCATACGAGTGATAACAGTACGATTACTATCACGACTACTACTACTACTGATGCTACTGCTAGCTACTACTACGATCACTAGTAGTAGTAGTAGTAGTAGTAGTCGTAGTAGTAGTCGTAGTAGTAGTCGTAGTAGTCGTAGTTCGTAGTCGTAGTCGT